GTTGAGATCTATTGTCCAACTCATTGTCCACCAAATGATTTATTGATATATCACTTTAAATTAGCGTGCTCAGCTTTTCTCCCACTGTCATTTGTGCTTAAAAATAAGTGTAAAATAATGTGTCAATAAATCATTGAGTAATAGCAAGTTGAATAATCAATTTTGAACAATAAATCTCAACTCGTATGTCTACATTTACAACTTATCAACTCGTGTAATATTATAATTTTTTATTACAACCTCAACCGTTCTAGATTGAGTAAAAATTCCATTAATACCAATTATAATCACGACATGCAGCCACGATACTCGACATTTACTACAAATTCGAAATTTTCATTACCACCTTCAAGCATTCTATGTTTCAAACAACACCTTAAATCAAGAAACTGAACTAGCGGTTCTATTCCCGATATGCGAACACCAAATATTTTGTACATTTGTTGACCAAAATTTATAAATTGCATGAAAATTACAAACAGGGATATACATATATACCAGAAACAACAAACAACAAGAACAAAAAAGTAATATATCCAAATATGTTCAGAAGCAAAATTTACTTAAAAATAAGTTCTCAGTAAATTTTTAAGCTTAGACAAACATGCTTTTTTAAAGTAGATTAACCATAGGAATTGAAATCATCAAAGTAAGAACACTACATAAGCATAACTAAGTATACAGAAGATTCAACACAACTTACATCTATCCTCTTACAGTTCCAAAACTCACCTAAAGATCTACAAGAAATTTTGCTAGCAGCTAAGGTCTAACACTGATTGTCAGATATTGTCTCTTCGGACGAGGCATCACAGTGGATGATGATCAAGTCCTCTTGGTTATTATCGGATGGTTTCGACTTCCTACATCTGGTAATGAGCGGTGAATTGGTTAAATGAGATCTACCACCTGTTTGTAGCTCAGTTTTACCTGAGATGGTGTACTTGTTATTCAGCCTGTTCCTTGCTTCTTGATGACAGAGATTAGAGTTGACATATGGCTGTCTAAACAACTGCATTCCAGGATGAGAAGCAGACAAATCAAATGAAGTTGGGGCTGTGTCAGGTGGCCTTGGAGGGATGGCAACTGCTTCTCTTAGCCATGGTGGTAAACTACAACCTTTCACAGTCATGCTCGTCATGGGACCCGTATGCAATGAAGATTCAGCACCGGCTACTGCATAACTATAGGACGGAAAGGTCCTCGCATCTGTAACTGGTTTCTGAAGTAGCCCATTATGTTGAATATTGATGAAATCCATTGGTGATATTTTCTTATCACTATCCTCATAACTGGTAGATGCATCTCCAAGTGAAAGTTGGACATCATCAGACCGATGTTTTATTTTAGGATATGAAAAGTGCTTCATACCGTAAGACAAAACATCTGGGGTACTGGCATATTTTGGTTGGGAAAAGGGCATGCTGTACATAAGTTTGGATTGATCCTCGTCCCACCTCTCAGCCAAGTCCCTTGGGGTCCTACAGGGAAAGAAATGCAATCTCGGATCCTTCAACATGGCATTCCAATTACCTCTTCCGTGTCTTCTCACTCCGATCCACAGAGAATCTAGCTCCTCTTCTGACCAGGTGGTCAGAGATTCAAACCTGTCTGAAAAACTACCTCTGTTCCCCTTCGCCACTCTTGCTCTCCCTAAAATGTTATCGAGCATCATTTTATGTCTTAAAGCGACGACATTTGATCTAAACAACGTTGCGGTCCTAAATCATGAAAGGTTTCTTGAGGTTGGATGTTAACATTGGGCCACTGATACAACATGGGATTGAATGCAACTGTCGACTCCATTGGCAGGGATAAACTGAGAAAGAGTGAAGATTTTGTAATAGCAGGGGATTTGAGCAGGCTCAGGCCTTTCTTCCGATCCCACAAAAGCGACGGCCTTCTGCTGTGTGTTTGCTGATGGTAACAAGTCATGGCTTCTATTCTCAGGGAATAACTGCAACAAATTCCATATTGAAATGCAAAGAAAATTGCACCACGGTCGCCAACTTTATTTTTTTGGCAGTGTTGTCTCCAATCTTTGAGTTTTGCAGTTATTGGTCCCTACCAGACATATTCCTTCCCTTCTACCGTTAACAAGTCGACATTTTATCCAAAAAATGATCGTACCCTTACTGTTTTCCATATATATTACTTCAACTAAGGGCACAACTGTCTTTTCAGTAAAAAATTGACATTTAAACAGCCAAATTGACGAGACCTTAATTGGAGACCAATTACAAAACTAAAAGCTTAAGGACGATGCTGCCCAAAAAGTTGTGGACCGACATAGCAAGTTTTACATATAATATATAACTAACAAATATATGAAACATTAGAGCCTGTTTGGGAAGTGTTCATTAACAATTTAAATTATAAATAGATTGAAATGAGTGGTGGATAAGTGAGATAAAAAGTGGTTTGAGTGTTTATAAACATGAGCTGAACACAGGCTAATATCACTAAAAAGCACCCAATTATCACTAATAAATATAAGAGTAATGCTATTTATCACCTCTGGTGCTAGATAGCATTATTCTAAATATAATGCTACGGACTCCAATTGTGCAAGTTACCTGAAGATAATTATTTTTTGATGCGATGTCCCTGAACTGTTGAGGATAATTAACACAATAATTGCTTTTGTCTATGGGTTTCGCAAGAGTACAACTACTTTCTATTATCCTTGCCTCGTGAGTTGACATATTCTCCTTAATTTTTCCATTGAGAAGTTCCAAATTTTTGCTGCGAGGAGACACTTTATAAAAATAAGGTTCATCAGAACCAGAGTCCAGTGCTAAATTGCAGTCAATATCACAAGCTGTACTATCATAGAAACATTAATACTTGCAAACGCCTTGCAAAAACAAGTGCATGAAATTGCAAAAATATTTGAACTCCAAGAAACTAGGGACAGATCTACTTAGAATCCTTACCAGATGCAGCAACAAATAGGTCCTGAGATGGTTGAGAACATTTATTCCCTGACAATTCAGCTGGCAATTCTGTGGTGTTCAAATCTTCATTAGACAAACTCTTAACAATCTTGTGCTCCAAATCTCCAGTGAGAACATCTGATAATTTTCTTGATGGATTTACGGGATGACTTTTTTGAACATCCATGGTGACATAACTATGAAAAGAAGTCGACTTGAGAGAACCTGAACTAAGTTGAACAACAGTACATGAGGTGTCATTGGCTGTTTTATGCAGAGACTTCAATTGCTCATCCACTTGGATGCCACTGTTATAAATATTCAAGAATCAAATTATATAATTAAACAGTTAATTATTAACTATAAAGATATGAAAGAAAGTTACATCTCAGCCTTTGGTGCTGATGCAGGAAACTCAGACTTATAATCAGTTTCTTGACTATATACCTGTAATAGAATCAGAAATTGATTAGCAGTCACGCAGAATAAACTCCATTATCTCATACTTAACATGCTGGTAATCTTATATAATCAAACATGAGAACAAATTTACTTTGTGTTAGACAAAAATCAGAAGCTCCATATACTTTACCGTAACTTTCTGGATTAAACAGATGCATTTTCCCATGCATGTAATCAAGTTTTATTGAGGTTTTATGATATCGTGCTATGACTTGACTTTGAAGAACAAAATGAAAATCCTTCATGCAGCAATATACAAGCTCGAAATTTGAAGAAAACCCAAACTCAAAATTTAGTGCCGTCACTGGGTCACCTCATTATTGGAAACGCAAGTGTCTATGCATATTTGTTCCAATGACAGTGCTGAACAATAATATTGTATGTAGGTATTAACTTCAACATCATGAAAAATAACTAATGCCCAACTAGTGGACTTCTGATCGCAATTCTAAGAAGCAAAATTGTAATCTTTTCCCACACAAACTTAATAATTAAGCCAGCATTCTATTTCACAACCGCTTTCCTTTTTCCTTTTACTAAAATAAGCATTTTCTTTTTACTTTTTAAAGAACTAAACCAGCACTCATATTTATATTATTAGCAATACAATTATATGCAAAACATTAATTATCTTTTGAATGAAGATCTTGCAAACAGAGAAGATTTAAGAAAATGGCTTAGGAAGAATTTCTCCCAAAAGCAATTATCTTATTATTAGTATCTTTTTATCTTATGGTGGCATGAAAATACTGATAATAATTTTCCCAGCTTCCTGGGAAATGAAAAATTCTTTCAACAATTAGTTATTTTAGCTTCTTATGATATGCAGAAATATGATATAAAAAAAGCTGCTTCAGAAAAGATAACATACTTCTTTTTCATTCCTAACAAAGGAATCCCTCAGAAGTATATCCTTCCCATTCTTCAGATCCTCAGAATGATCATTTGAACAGCTTTTAGCCGGTGGCGTTTCAAATGTACAGGTGGAGAGAGCAGATGCAAAGGTACATCCCTTTGTTGCCAATGAAGAACTCTTTCCAGCTTTTATGTTGGATTTTGTATTTGGCCCAATGGTATCCTGCTTGGATCTTCGACGACATGTAATTAGTGTTGAGGAAAACTTCCGTTTCACAACTGAATTGTTGCATAAGCTACTGCACTTATCTTTACAAGCAAAGTCCAATTCTTCCAAAGTTAATTTTTCAGAAAAAGATGAATCCTTACTCTCATGGCTGCATTTTTTGGGGGGACTTCCTTCCAAAAGTGCATTTTTTGAATGAAATCTCGCTTGTGTCACATCAGATTCTACAGAAAGGGTCTCGCCCTCCAGTCCGCTTGAGGAATACTCTGCCTTGATACAATCAGAGCAAAGCCTTTTCTCTTTTGAAGCATGCTTTAATTGAAAGGTCATGTGTACAATTTCAATAATTCTCAAGAAAAGATTCCCTCAACGACCACAATTTCAATGTATCTACAAAGAAAAGAAAGAGTGAGATACCTTTCGAGGATTAAGACATTCAACAGGATACTGCCGATAGCAGCATTGACACTGAGACATACTGTCACCAACTTTGCCTCTGCAGTATTCATGGCACATCTGCAAAAGATCAAAATTATGCCTACTCAATATAGTAAGAACAGGGCACGGAAAATCAGATGAATCCGGGCATTCCAACAGAAAGTATGAGTTATATTCAAAAAGCTGAGAAGCTGCGTCACCAACTGCTCCCTGAATCATCATAACCATGAAAAATATGGGAGAGTTCATGCAATTTGTCAGCCTAGTTTTGTGTCTTATAAGACAATATCTTTGGTTGAAATAAACATGCTCAGAGTTTATTAGAATTATCCGGTACAGTTTAGGAGTGGCCATGGTTTCAAATCCCCACCCCCCTCTTTTTTTTCTCGTGGGCGTGGTGGGGGGGTCATGCTCAAGAATACTAATTGAAGGTCAATTCCACTTAAAAAGTAGTTTGTGAAAGATATGATTGGTTATATTGGTCGACACTTTCAATTTGGCAAAATATCACACAGCCAAGACTGGAAAAGAAGCCATTTAAGATATTGAGGTCGCACGTGATGGGTGGAACTCTGCTTTTGAAGAATTTTGTCGTCTTCAAATGAAAGCAACTGCTAAACCTATTAAACGAATACCACATTTGTGCAGTTCAAAGTTGTCAAAGCACATTTGACACAAACCATCATAACTCAAGACAGCATCAGGGCTTTATTATTCATTCACTTTTGGCTTTCACAATCCTTTATTCCAATCTAAGGGAGTCAAGACCAAAGTAATATGGACTGTTGGGTTTTGATACCCAATAAATTCGGACGATGATGTTAAATCGATTTTGTTG